AACCGCCGAATACTCGAGAACGATTCTATATCTAGGATAAACGTCATTCTACGGTGAAAAAGCCCGTAAGTGAAAAGTCTTGCGATTACAAGGTCACTAACTGAACAATTAGATATTTAACTTGAATAGGAGGCGTCACGCTCCGTCGAGACTGGTTAAATCCCAAGTGTCGATTACTTTCTGCTCTCCCACAGTAGTCGGCACGACAATAGTAATAGTAAAGGAAATGATAAAGTGGCAGTTGCTAGTAGCAATGTCCACTCTACCCTATGTATAAAGGAAACGTCAAGGAATGTTGGATAATGGAAGGCATTAGTCAATGCTGCATGGGATACCAAATGTTGATTCAAGTGGATAGATGCATAAAAGAACAATGCTAGTGGATAAACGATAGGGACATGGGGAAAGCAGTGCAATTACAAAGATGGTAAAGATGTAAAAATTAAAGTTACACATCAACAGATACTAAATAATATTGATAAGAGATGAAAGGGTTGTGATGAAAGGGTTGCAATAAACAGGAGAGAGAAGGTATGACAACCCAGTAACATTATTTATATTGGCCATTTAAGTCTGCGACACTGCCTTCATGCAATTAGCTTAGCTGTCCCAGTCACAAAGTCATTACCTACCTTGAACAGCTACTAATGGTTGTTTCAACTCCGGAGTAATTTTGTCCAGTCATCTGGAGCTGTTGCCAGCATTAAAACAATTAAAAGATTTAATGGCGATTTCACCAATACAGAAAGTTCAAAAACTGTTTGAAGAGCCAAAGGTTATTATTTTTTAGTTTGAAGATGCTTTTGAGGGGGTCTCCACATTGTACGATCTTGGGGTTGTTAAAACAAATAAAGAAAAGCCTCTTAGCTCAGACCAAGTTGGAAACAATATAATTGAGCTTCAAAGAAAACTCAAAAGAGATACAACCCCCCAATATTAATATCAGCATTTATATTCTGGTGTAAGAGCAATGTCTATTAAGGCATTGTCTTGGAAAGATCCTATGGCCAGTCAAGTCATCAGCAACGAATTGAAGCTTGTAAAGGAATTACCAGGAAATTTAAGAAAAGGATTTATGGTAAAGAATTATATGTATATTTGGTCATGTTACCTTTGTTAACACTATTAATAATGTATTATTTACATAGAAACTTGTTCGTAAAATGACACCACACCCATGCCAATGGTTCAAGAAATATGTAGAGAATTTGTACTAGATTTTAAATTGAAACAAAATCAGCCAAATTAATACACGATGGAGCTTGGAAAGAATTGAAAGAAGATATCAAATGCGTGGTCAAAGAAATTCTTAATGTTTTGAAAGATATTTGGAATAACTCAGCATTCGATCCCGAACTTGCAAAGACATTAAATGAGGGGACATACCAATCAACTGTCACTGTACCTGTTATTCAAGCTTCATTGAAAATCTCCTTGTCGGAGATGCTTTTTTTATTAGTACGCCGGAAAAGCAAAGTATTGCAAGTGCTAATAGAAAGGGAGAAGGTTACATGGGAAGACGTCCAGATATTATGCTTGTAGTGAAATCCTGGAGACAGTTTTTGAACTCATGTACATAGAATGCTCTCGTTTAATTTCTGATGATGAGATTAAGTTATGGCGAGAAACTAATGACAGACTATATTGGATACGCTAAAGTCTTAAACCAGATAAAGATCAGTTTGGTATTGTAGGTATGCAAGTAGCAGGTAATGTATTGCACTTGAATCTTCTAGTACGAGATATGGTTAATGTTCACTGATATTACCATTTACAATCTGCTGAGATTCCTGTACAATTTTTGGATGAAGCCGTTGTAACTAAATTTATTATTATAGAAACTTTGTTATTTTTACATAATATAATAATTACTAATTTATCTTTACTATATCACACACCTACTGCCACATCGCAAAGGCAAATGGAAGATAGTACTACAGTTTCCACTCCACGAGATGATTACTAGACTTCATTATATGTACTTTTTCTATCTTGCATTTTATAGCATCTCTGACACATATTTATCTCAATAAAGATGCTGAATTATTATATACTGTACTTTGTGCAATATATGTGATTAATTTTCTTTGCATGCTGGAAATTAAATCATATGCATGATGTTTGTAGACCCGAAGGGTCATTGCTTTGCAATAGTACATAAATTAGGACCCACAAAAAGTTCATGCAATGATGGAAAGGTTTCGGAAACTGAATTTTTTTTACTCTCATCACCTAATTTTTGTAAGATTTTCATCAGATCTGAGAAAACTGTCAAAGTCACTAGAATTACTGTCAATTTACACCTGCTATTACATCTTTCTCCAGGTACAAAAACAATTTATGGAGATTAGCAAGTGTTTCCTTCATAGAGGCCATATTTATTATATTTAATCTTCGTTATAATGATAAGATGATATACATTCAAGCATGGATACTCTATTTTGATCAAATTCATTGAAAGCAATGGCATCTCTATATTTCAAGGCTATAAGCTTCTCATAAAGACAACTTAACACTATCATCTTCATAATGCATGACTATATGCACGTTGTATATCCCATAAATCTATGAAGAAATCATTAGGTGTTCCATTTGGTGTGCCAGTAGGAACATCGTCAAAAAGTAACCTGGTAGGAATAGCGAGTTGATAGTCTGGCAAATTAGGACCATTGCAAGCAACTTGTCCAAGTCTGATGCCAGTAAGACTGTTAGCCAGAAAATTCGGAATATTCAAAAGAAACCTTGTTGTGGAGATATGAAGATTTGCAGTCCCAAAGGACTTTGTGATACAAGGTACAGTTGGATTCAGTTGGTCACGTCTGTAAAATAATGCGAGCAATGCAAAGGTGCGATCCTGACGACAAGGAAAGAGCTTGATGGCCAAATACATTTGAATATTGGTGCGTGGAGAAAAATATCCTGTTGCCAGTTCATGCAAACTGTTTAGGCTCTCTGTACTACCAATTTCTATGACCATGGTTGGGTATGGGTTACCCGTTGCATTGACTGCCTGCCTTTGTGGAGGTTGTCGGCGTTGTTGCGGTCGAATACAAGCATCAGGACGATATACATCTCTCGTGTTCACAGTGACATCCGTTTCACCCATAACATCGAGTGCGCGATGGTTCCAGGTATACATCTCACCAGTTAACACTCCTTGTACCACTGAATGAGGATCTAAAGGTATCTCGTAGGCTATGACTTTCCCATCAACGAACCGGTGTTTAACAGAAACCTTTGGCTCTCCGTCACAAAACTTAAGATAAGTTTTGCGTGGCACGTTACTTGCCACAACGATCCCTCGTCGATAAACTTCATCCGTTCCATCTTGTCGCTGAATGGCCATAAGGTGACCCCTTGCTTTATCAAAATCCCATGAGCTCCATAAACGAGACGGATCTGTATTCCTGGTTTGTTTTGACAGATACAAGGAGTCAGAAGATAAGAAAGTGGGGTGATAAAACGACATTGAGACTGTGTTTTTGTTTTTGCCAATTTGTGGTGTCATACAAACCCATTAAAAGATTTATTATCCATTGTTCGAGTTACGTATTCTTTATGATGTCATCTGATAAAAAATTACTTTATGATAACAATGCAATGTTAGTTCTTTTCAGGCTTGAAGTCCATTATTCCTTGATATTCAAGCATTTCGAATTCGTTGTTCTGCTACTTTTCGTACTGTAAAAGTGAATACCGTACTTAATTCAATAATCAAATCGAGAGAAAAAATAAACTTCTATCCTGTTCTTTCATTGGTTAGTGACTTGTGTAAGTTGAATAATTCGATGTTGACATAAAGTCTGGGACTAAAAAAACCGCCCAAATTTTAAAAGCAAAATAAAACAGTTGATAATTCGATGTCCATGAATAATGACTTCATATATGTCAGAGACACATGATCGATTATATTTTTCCATGTGATTTGCGTAACTTTGCTGTGACAAGCTTGTCACGCATCTTTCAATGAAAACAATAAAATCCGAAGTGCGTGTTGCCTCCGCTTCCCACGCTTCTTTTTTTCTGCGAAAGTAAACGCTATTCTTCTTGAGTGGGACATCAGCTCTAGGGTTATTTGACCTTAACGGCTCATCGAATAGTGACGCTTTTGATTATTTTTTCGTACATTGTATATGTGTAATCAATAATTTTTCCGGAATAATTTCTTAGCGAAAGTGATCTGCGTTCCAAATTGGAACGGAAATTCCTAATTAAAAATTAAATAAATCTGTTTTATATAAAAAGTTTCACAATTCCGACTGAAGTACTTGTAGAAAAATATGATCTCCAAACGCCCAACTATATCTTGCTTGGTAATAATTGGTTCTATGGACGCAAATACAATAACTTAATTTTTCGTTTTGACTTGACGTGGTCTTATTATTATCATTTTTACAGCCCAACAATACTTCGAGTCAACTGAATGGACGTATCCCGGGTATCTCGAAAAAACGCAACCACAATACTGATTTTTTGCGTGTATGCGCGTATCTGTATTGAGGGAATGAACGATTATACGCTGATTTTGCATATACAGTAATAGCGCAACCAGAGGCAAAATTTATTTGAATATTTTCTTGACAGGTGATAATTGTCACACACGTGATTTCAAAACGCGAAGGCATTTTGATTTCTGTGGGGATGGCTGTTTTATTATGGATTTTACGGTGTTATAATCGGAATTAATGTAAAATTAATATCAATTTTGTTTAACCCTCTAATATATTTACAAAGACAACGGAACGTATCAAAAAATTCGAATTGCATGGGATTGCAAGTGTCTACCCGTGAACTTATTTTGCTCGAGAGAAAGACTATTAAGATACGTGTTGCAGCAAATGTAACCAATTAACGATTTGTGACCGCGATCCATCATACACCCCCCTGACAAAAGTATAAGTACGAGACGAAATTTTACTAGTAAAACATATGAAACCTCTTTATTTTCGAAAATCTCTATCGTCCATACGTACTATGTAACCCACAATGATCTTGGTACTGTTTTGAAGCTAATTGATTGTATTTTTCAGAAAAAATTACGATATACTCAGTCCTGTTGTCGTAGTTCGAGGAAGTGGCGAAATTCTGTTACACATATGAAATCATATGTGTAACATAGTGCCGTCACTTCATCGAACTACTTCTTTATTACAGTGACTAATTTAAATTCCACACCATTTTTTTCGAAAAATACAGTCAATTAGCTTCAAAACGGTGCCAAAATCATTGTGGGTTACATAGTACATATGGACAATAAAGATTTTCGAAAATAAAGATTTTTCATACGTTTTACTAGTAAAATTTCGTCTCGTACTTATACTTTTGCCAGGGGGGTGTATAGTCTGTGTTTGCATGTTTCATGCACGTAGGCTCCATGTAAGATTGCATGTTTCAGACTCCATATAGGATTGCAAGCATGTTTTATGCGTGTAGGCTTCCATAAAAGATTGCATGGTTTATGCACGTCTCCATATAAGATTGCATGTTTTATGCGTGTTTTCAGTTCCGCCATTCAAATGCTGACAACCATAAACATATTTAAAGGCATCATCCCCCAAGCTCTTTTAACCATTGCAATATTTGCTCATTCGAAAATCCAAATTGTAAACACATAATTTCTTCCCTCAATGCTAACACCACCACCACCACCACCAACACCACCAACACCACCAACACCACCAACACCACCAACACCACCAACACCACCACTGCCAAAACCACCACCAAACATGGGTTCAAACAAAAGGAGGTCTTCAGCTCCCCACCAACTGACGGACAGATCACAGGACACGAAATCAATTGGAAACGCAGGGCCCTTTTGGAACGAATGTACCCTAAAGGAGTCGAA